CTTAGACATTGTAATCCAGCTACTCTTTATTAACCTCTTTTGTGAGTATCTGAGATTTTTATGACCCTGAATGAAGGTCTGTATTTAATTCTACTTATAAAATTAATAAAAACTGAAAGAGTTTTGCAGCTGTAGCTTATGTATCAATTGCATCAGAAACACCTGCAGAGTTGCTAAATACTCAGATTCCTGGACCTCACCCTAAAGTTACTGAGTCAGAATCTCTGGGGGTTGTAAGTAGGAATATGCTATTTTAGCAAGATTGCCAGATGATTTTTAGGCATATTAAAATGTGAGAACCATTGCCTTGGAGATTTCTTTTTCCTGCAATAGTGGGATGGTATAGCTCCATTTTACAAATGTCAATGCCTCACATAGAAAGACAAGCATATTTTGCAGATGTCCAGTAACTTCGGACTCCCCTTGCACCACAGGACTGACCACAGTAGTGAACATTTACTGTTTTGGCTAATGACCCTTGAGGCCTTGTTGCAAAGTACTTTGGGAAATCCAAGGAGCTGTTATCCATACTTTTTTTTTAATATTTATATTTTAGTTTTAGGTGGATACAATATCTTTATTTTATTTTTATGTGGTGCTGAGGATTAAACCCAGTGCCTCACAGGTGCTAGGCAAGCACTCTACCACTTGAGCCACAACCCCAGCCCCATCCATTCCTTAAAATGTTACTGGTCAGGCAATGACAAACAGACTCCATTTTACCCTGAGACTCCATGTCATCTAAGAAATGCTTCTCCCATGAGAAAATTCCATCTCTGCCATCCTGATCCTGGTTAGAAATGCAAATGCTTCTGTTCTCATACAATGCAAAATTGTTGGGAGCTGCCACATAGGAACAAACTGGGCACACCTTAGCCTTGAGCTATGAGAATGTGGAGATGTGGCAAGCCATGAGCTCTGAGCGCACAAAGTGGACTAAATCCACGTTGCCCCGGTTGGGTGGGCCTCACTCTGGTCTTTTTGCTCACTCTGCCTATGCTCCCCACACAGCTCATGACATGGGCATGGCCTTCCTAGATGTAATCAATCCGCTAGACTCAACCCCTGAAACCTGACCCCTTGCCTCATTTGAATGGCTTTCCCCTTTAGAAGGGTTCAGCATGTGTTCCCCTCTCTCTCTTTCCATGGACCCTTAAGGTCAGAGGAGCTATCACAGGACCCAAAGAAAAAGGTATTACTCTGTCTCTGTGTGATTATTTCGTGCCAGCCCAGTTCACCTGGAGTGACCTTGAGAGTTTAGTCATGAGACACAACATAAAATTTTTCTCTTTTTGGTTCCTATTTTTCTTGGATGATGTACCTTATCAGAATGATTGTATAGATATTAGTACACAATCTTCAACTTGTACTCAACTAGGCATTTTGACCCACTTCCCCTCTGCTTATGATTTTAGATCTCATGATGTTTGTTTATGGTTTTGAATCATAGCAACATCCACTTATGATTAATGTAGTTTTGGACTATAAAGGTGTACTCTAACCCTTGGAAGGGGTTGAAGAATGTAGACTTGCAGCCTGTCCTTTGGCCTACCAGATGGTGAATCCAGACCACCAGCTGGTAAATAAATGTCCCATCTTCTGCTTTAAGATAAGATCGACTCAGTGATTTATTGCAATCTTACCATAATAAAAATGTATGCCAAGAGGGGGTGGGTATAGCTCAGTAGTAGAGCAAGGACCTGGGTCCAATTCCCAGCACCATAGGCATGTCAAAAATGTATGCCATGGCTGTTGTGGTGGCACACACCTGTAATCCCAGCAGCTCAGGAGGCTGAGACAGGAAGATCACAAGTTCAAAGCCAGCCTCAGCAACAGCAAGACATTAAGCAACTCAGTGAGACCCTGTCTCTAAATAAAATACAAAATAGGACTGGGGATGTGACTCAGTGGTCAGAGTGCCCCTGAGTTCAATCTCCAGTACCCAAAAAAAAATATGTGTATATATATATTTATGCCGTGACTAATTCATACTAACATACACATGTGCATGTATGTGTGTGGTGTTAGGGACAAATCCAAGGTCACACATCTGAGAGGCTAAACGTGCTCTCCCACTGAGCTACACTCTCAGCCACTAATTACACACACACACACATACACACACACACACACACTTTTTTCTTTTTCTCAGTACTAGGATTGAACCTAGAGATTCTCTACCACTGAGCTGCATCCCAAGCCTTTTTGAATCTGGAGACAGGATCTCACTAAGTTGCGAAGGCTGGGCTCAAACTATCAATCTTCCTGCCTCAGCCTCCTGAATCACTGGCTTATATATTTAAAATGTGAGTCACAAATTTAAAGTTTCAAAACAATTTGTAGGTTGGGCTGGGGTTGTGGCTCAGTGGTGGAGTGCTTGTCTAGCATGTATGAGGCACTGGATTTAATCCCCAGAACCACATAAACAAACAATAAACAACATAAAGGTATTGTGACCATCTACTACTAAAATTATTTTTTAAAAATTGTAGGTTGAAATTAACAGCATTTTCACTATCTATATCAGTATAATAAAGAAAGATCATTGTTTAGTAATAATAGGGCAGCATTTACTAATAACCACTGTAGAAGGGTCCACAAGCAAGCATTCACATTTAATGAAAATTACATTTTGGACTGAACTTTATTATGATAGTGTTTCGGAGTTCAATCCTAATCTCTAACATTTACCCAAATCAGATCCAAATGAATGAACTCTTTTTAGCTTTTTAATAGATAATTTTATGACATATTTAGATGGTAAGAGTGTTGGGAGGGTGCTTTTGCTAGGGATTTCAGCTTGAATGCCTCACAGTGCCTGATCCCTATTGAGTACTTAATAAGCATTACATGGATGAATGATGGAATGAGCAAGGCACAGTTTTTGTCTTTCAATTTCAGTCACTGATTTTTTATTTTTTTTACTTTTTAGGTACTGAGGATTGAACCCAGTGGCGCTTAACATCCCCACCCCTTTTTTATCTTTTTTAAGTTTTTGTTTTGAGACAGGATCTTGCTAAGTTGCTGAAGTTGGTCTAGAACGTGAGATTCTCCTGCCTCAGCCTCCTGAGTTGCTGGGATTATAGATGTGCATCATCACTGCCTCCGGCTCAGTTACTAATTTGAAAGGCAGAAATTAAGAATAAAATTTTGTGCATAAAGGGGTTTTTGTCAACTTTACTTTTCCATCTCTTGTTTTGTTTTGAGATAGGGTCTCAAATGTTGCCCAGGCTGTCCTCCAACTCCTCTGGCCTCAGCCTCCTGAGTGCTGGGGCTCCAAGGCACAGGGCACTGCCTACGGTTTGTCAACTAGTCTGCCTTTCACTTTTCTATCTCCAACTGCTGCCATCTGAGCTTGTAAGACCAGACAGATTCTCCTCCCAAGGAGGCAAACAAGCTTGGGAGTCCTGTCTTGGAGCATGGTCATCGCCGCATACTTCCTCCCTCAAACTTCTCCGGGTCTCCCAGGCCTGGGGCGGTGGGCGAAGCTGGCTGGCAGGCGCCCCCGCCCCAGCTCCTCCCCGGGGGCCCGGGCCCCTCACCTTTGAGGAGTTGCACAGGAACCTCGTCTCGTACTCCTCGTTCATGGTGATCACCCCGCGCACGTTCTCCTCCTGTATCAGCTGCCGAAGCAAAGAGCCGGCTCAGCAAGGGCCGCGGGGACCCGGGGTGGGCCGGGCCGCGAAGGGGCCGGCGGCGCGGAGGCCGGGCCCCGCCGCCCCGCTCACCTTGTGCGTCATGCCCCGCAGCGGCAGCGCGCCCAGCAGCACCGTGTGGTCGATGCGGTGGTACCAGTCGCGGTGCGCCGGACCCCGCACCTTCCCGCGAAACACCGTGTACAGCAGCGTCGGGTAGAAGAGCGCCCGGGCCAGGCCGGCCTGCATCCACGCGGAGGCCGCCATCCGGCCCCGCCCGGTCCGGCGCTGCGACGTGCCGCTCGTTCCCAGGCTCGAGGTCTGCGACCGCGAGGACAACGAGGGCGAGGTCTGCGGGCAGCCTGAGGCCTCGGGGGGAGACGGCGCAGTCACCGCGGGCTCCTCAGGGGCCAGGGTCCGGGGCTCGCAGCCCTGGGCTTGTGGGTCTTGGCCTGGGGCTCCCGGGGCGGGCTCCACGGCTCCGGAGGAGGGGCCGCCGGCCTCGGGGGAGGGACCAGGCTGTCGGCGTGAAGCAGATCCCCGGCGCTCAGCGCCCTGCGCTCCTGGGCCACTGGCCGGTGAGCCTGCGGCTTGCGAAACTGGGACCCTGCCTGTGGCCAGCGGTAGGCCCCCGCCGGCAGGGGTCGCGTCCCAGGTGAGGGGGCACGACCTCTCAGGGTGGAAGTGTGACCCGGCCGAAGGAGGAAGGGCACTGCCCCGATCCGGCCGGAAGGAGGGGCAGTGATTCCAGGTGCCCCCTCCAAATAAAAGGGGAGAAGAGACGAGGAAGGGCCTCTGCGGTGGGGTGGTGGCGCACGCCGGTGATCCTAGCGATGCAGGTGGATCTCAAGTTCAAGGCCAGCCTGGGCAACTTCTCTAAATTAAAAAAGGGGGGGGGGCAGGGATGTAACTCAGTAATAAATCTCCCTGGGACTGTACAAGAAAAAGGGAAAGATGGGCTGGGGGTTTAGCTCAGTTGGTAGAGTGCTTGCCTCCCATGTGCCCTGGATTGAATCCCCAGCAACACACACACACACACACACACACACACACACACACACACACAGGAAAGGGAAAGAGAAAGAAAGAAAAGACTCATGGTCTAAGGGTGTAGTTCAGTGGTAAATCACTTGCCTGGCATGTGCCAGGTCCTGGGTTCCATTTCTAGTGTGGCAAAATCAAAACAAAAAAACCACCTTTTATAGCAGCTTTATTGAGATACAATTCATGGGCTGGGGAATATAGCTCAGTTGGTAGAGTGCTTGCCTTGCATGCACAAGGCCCTGGGTTCAATCCCCAGCACTAAAAAAAAAAAAAAAAAAAAAAAATACAACTCACATATATAATAATTCAGCCATGGGCTGGGGTTGTGGTTCAGCAGTGGAACGCTCGCTTAGCATGTGTGAGGCCCCGGGTTTGCACCACCTAAAAAAAATAAATACATAAAATAAAGGTATTGTGTTCAACTTCAACTAAAAAACAAATATTTAAAAAGTTCACCCTTTAAAAGTGTACAGTTTAATGGGTTTTGGTTGTTGCTGGGTTTTTATTTTGTTTTATTTGGGTTTTTGTTTGTTTGTTGTACTTGGGAACAAATCCGGGGCCTTGAGCATGCTAGGCAAGAGAGCACTCTACCGCTTAACTATGTCCCTAGCCCTAAAAGGTGAAAGATTTATGTAATCTAAAGACAAACCTGAGTGTCAAAGGGTTTTGGTATATTTGTAATCATCACAGTTAACTTTAGAAATTTTAATTTTGCCAGTCTGGTGTGGTGACACACCTGAATAATCCTAGTAACTAAGGAGGCTGAGGCAGGAGGATCCAAAGGCCAACCTCAGCAATTTAGTGAGTCCCTGGCTCAAAATAAAAAATAAAAGGGATTAAACATCTGTGTTTAATCCTTGGTTAAATAAATATATATTTTTTACAATAAAAATTAAAAATAGGGACTGGGGTTATGGCCCAGCTGTAGAGTGCTCGCCTTGCACATGCAAGGCCCGGGTTTGATTCTCAGCATCACATAAAAATAAATAAGTAAATAAAATAAAGTTAAAAAAATTAAAAACAATTTTGGGGTGTGTTTGTGGTGCTACACAAGCGTGCTGTACCGCTAAGCTATGTTGCCACCCCCAACAAAATGGTTTTTAAACACATAAATACATATACTTAATAAAAATGATGAATAAAACAAGTGGTATTTTATGACTTTTTAATTAAAGATATAACCACATTGTTGTGAAGTATATATTGGTCATTTATTTATTTATTTTTATTTATTTTTAGATATAGATGGACACAATACCTTTATTTATTTTTATGTGGTGCTGAGGTTCAAACCCAGTGCCTCATGCATGCAAGGCAAGTGCTCTACCACTGAGCTACAACCCCAGCCCCTGGTCATTTATTTTTAATGCTCTATAATCATCCGTGGGCTGGGGATGTGGCTCAAGCAGTAACGATCGTCTGGCATGCACGTGGCACTGGGTTCTATCCTCAGCACCACATAAAATTAAAATAAAGATGTTGTGCCCACTGAAAACTAAAAAAAAAAAAAAAAAAGAACGAGCAATCTATAATCATCCATTTTATGTTTTTTTTTTAAATTATAGTTGTAGGTGGACAGCATACCTTTATTTGTTTAGTTTTTTATGCAGTGCTAAGGATTGGACCCAGTGCCTCACACATGCTAGGCAAGCACTCTGCCACTGAGCTATAGCCCCAGCCCTCGTTTATATCATGGAATATTTACTCATTCTCTTTTTTTTTTTTTTTTTT